GGTGGCCCTGGCGCCCGTCCTCAGAAGGACATTCTCCAGGTGCTTCTGCCTTCGGCTTCCCGGCTCGCCCCGCGACACGTGAGTCTGAGGGGCGTGGAGGCGGCGGCGGGGCGCGCTCGCTCCAGGCGTCCGTGACAGGAGCCGGCGGGCGGCAGTCTGACCACCAGAGTGAGGCCAGCGAGGAGCTATGCGACCTCGGGGAGGCAGGGACGGAAGGTCCCCCCTGAGGTGCTGCATAGTTGTGGAAATAATGTGGGGCGGCATTGTGGAACGGGGTTAAGCGGCATCGTTTGGATAAACTGTGGCTGCAGGCAGTTGGAAAGTTAAAATGTCCAATATCACGGAAGAGTTCTGAGGGGAATATTAGTTTGGTGTGGAGAAAAGTAGCAGAAGAAGGATTACCTCGTGTTCCTAGGGAGCTTCCGCTTTGGGAACGCAAAACTAATCTGAGGCTCGTTATCTTTCAACTTTGGGCATTGTAGCCAAATGGAGCTGCTCTTCTGAAAGGGTAGGCTGCTGGAGAAAAAGGATAAGGAATCAGAAATGAACAGCGGAAAGAAAGTGAAAAGTCCACTGAAAGATGGAAAATGGCCACCAGTTTGCAGGGGTGGGGAAGTAGTGCTACATCGGTCCAGTGGTGTAAGCTGCTTCCCAGTTTCTGCCTTAGTCACAAACATCCCAATAAAGAAGGACTTTTTAGCATTGCCAAATAAAGCTTTCTCTATAGAATAAGAAAATCCAATGGTGCTTTTTCACGATCGTACACCTCTTAGTTCCCAAAAGTGTATGCCTCGAGAATCTAATTGTGGTATATTAAAAAGGAACTACCCATTCCTTGGATTTCATAATCTTCCTTATTGCACCCCTGTGTTTATCAGAAGTTTTCCAGCAGATACCTTTTGTCATTAATCGTTTAAGGTGTTCCAGTACCTTCATACTTGTTGTAATTTGTATAACTTTAACATGTTGACTCTGTAGGCATTAGTCTTATCTTTAAAATGGGAAAAATTATACCTATTTTCTGGGTTGTTAAGATAAATATAATTTAAGTAAAGCATTTAGGACACTATCTGTGACACCACCATGAATCAGAGAAGCATCTCAAATTTACAGCCAGACCTTAGGCAGGAAAGAGAAGCTATAAATTTATTATCATCCTAACTTTTTAAACCAATAAGAAAATGAAAGATAGTTCAGCTCAGCAGATGCTGACTGCAGAGTTCTTTATCCCTTCCCAGTTTGTTATAATTTGAGGAGAGAAAAAAGTTCACTATTATCAAGGAATATTGAGGCCAAAGAATATAGCATACTGTGTGATCGTACCTCCAGAAACTGCTCCTCAAGGAAGAAAAATATTTTGAGAACCCAGAATGTTAACATTTTAAATTAAGTTCTGAGAACATAAGGAAACTGGCATGCTAAATTAGTCTACTAAAAGAAGTTTCCTATTCTTTTTAGTGAATCAGCTAGTCGAGTTGTGTATTGAATAGCGAGCTAACTTAGAGAATGTGGGAGCTTCTAGCTGAGTTCTTTATACCACCTCCTGTTCACTTAACTGTGCGAGGAGTCACTTCCCCTTCTTGCTTTTTTCCCCCCTTCTTGCTTTTTCAGAAAAAGAAAAGTGGGGAACCAGGCATGGTGGCACACACCCATAATCCCAGCACTCAGAAGGCTGAGGCAGGAGGATTGCTGCAAGTTCAAAGCCAACGTGGGCTACATAGTTCAAGGCCAGCCTGAACCATATAAGACCCTGTCTCAAAAAACACCACCACCACCCCCAAAAGTGGGAACAGTACAGCTTTGGTTACCTACTTTCATACCCCAGAAAATAAGATGAAAGAAGATACTTGTGTAGTGGTTAAACATAAACCATAAGCTCTGAAGGCAGAGTATCTGGCTGACTCCCATAGCTGGGCGTTTTCTTAGCTATTAAACCAGGGCAATAATCGTATTTACTGCATAGGGTGATTGTGAGGATTAATTAGCTAATATATATTAAGTGCTTCAAACACTGCTTGATTGAAGGTTGTCACTCTTAAAAGTTTCCCACTTGTATGGTTTTGGTGCTTGAAGTGTGTCATGGGGCCTTAATCTCTTGGCTAGTTGTGATTATTCTGTGGAAATACTTTAGCAGCATAACTACTAAATAAGTTATACACTATCAATTTAGTGAATTGATATTTGGGATATATGAAGTCAGGTAGGTCATTTCTCAAGCATTTGTTGGTCTAATCAAGTGTGGAAAAATAAAATCCAATAAAAAATCAGCTTTTATATGGGAGAAAGGAAAGTATTAAAGGCTCAGGGCTTGGTTTGTGTTTTTCCCATCTTCGGTGAGAAATTTTCAGAAGAATTAAACTTTGTATCAGAAAAATTCGTGATATTGTTATGAAATTAGCAAGTAGCTATAGACTGAAGGATCACTAATGAATACCTCAGTGAAGATTTTTGCACGGATACATCATTGTGTTCTGCGTGTGAAGATGGATTAGAGAAGAGAAAATGAGTTTGAGAAGCAGCCATAACTCTCCATGTCTAAGGTAGTACAATGAACAGGTGAACCCAGAATTGTCATCAATTTGGAGCATATAAAGATAATTGTACCAACTGAAAACCTAGAAGCCCTTGAGATTTGTGACTTGCAGAAGCTAAGGTGGGTTTTGGAAGCCATTTTCAAACCACTCATTTTGACCAAGTGAATTTTTTCCTTCCTATAACTTAGTTGAATTATTTTTCAGAGATGAAATATCAGAGTAGATAAATGTGACATTTTAGGCGCTGTGTGTAATTTACCTCTATTCAGCATTCTCGAGGTGAATGTAAACAAAGATCATTAGATACTCCTGAGTATTGATATGAGAATTAATGCCCCAGATATTCAGATTTCTATATTTTATGTCTTTCTTAGTAATTTCCAACTAAACATATTCAAATGTCTATTTAAATTGTAGTTTGAGTGTTTTGTTAGGAAAGGCCACTGGCTTAAGCTTTGTGAACTAGTATTAAACTTTGAATAATGAGATTTGGTGATCTTAACTTTTCACTAAGTGAAACATTAAAGAGGTAAAGATAGTTGCACCCAGGTTATCATATTTAAGTAATTCTTACTCTTTCCTCCCTTCCTTCTTACTCCCATGATTTGTTTTGATGGATTCATCTCTAAATCAGACCAAAAGTTACATAATACGGGTTTCCTGCTGCAGATGTTCTTGGCACAGAAATATTAAAATGTATTATATGTTGCATATACCAAAGAATTATGCTTTCTAAATAACCAAAATACCATTCATTTAATGCACATTCATGTGCTTTATTCCTTTTCCTTCTCTCCTGCTTCCATTTGCCCTTCCCAACACATGCTTCCTTCCAAAAGGATGCTCCCGTTCTGTAGTTGCTGGAAGATTGGACTGCTGCTACTGCTACTCCTGGCCATGGCAGTGAAAGAATCCCTGCAGGCTGAAGAAAAAACTTGTGACTTGGTAGGAGAGAAGGGTAAAGAATCAAAGAGTGAGTTGGCTCTGCTGACGAGGCTGAAACCACTTTTTAACAAAAGGTAAATTAAAAGAACCTTAAGGGTTTTGAGAAACTATCTTTATTAAAGAGTCGTTTTCTTCTTTTTACTTATTAAATTTCAATTTAATATGGAGGGAATACAAGTATAGTAACCCCCCTCTGGGAGATGCATTCTAATTTAATCTGATCTCGTTGGATTTATTTGACCATAATACTTTGCTGTCTTCAGTGTTGTAGACAAATTCTCAGCCCACTTTTGAGTAGCCGTGTCTCTTACCTTTCAGAGAAGACAGGACCCCAGTAGAAATTCAAGCATTGAAGGGACCATAGTTCCATGGTCCCTTGTTCATGGAAAAATAATAGCTAACACGTAAGCCTATAATATCTAGACTATGCAGCTGGGTGATATATCTTAATCAAACATCATCAGCAATTAGGATTGTGTGGTAAGGGTTATGAATATCTCATAATTTAACAAATGCTGTATACTGTTGACATTTGGCCATGACGTTGGATTAATAAGTCAAGCACATTTTGTTTTTGTTATCTTCAAAGAGAAGGAGGCTACGTGTTCCTGAGGCTGATGGCTGGTAACTGTCTTTTTCCTTTCTTTCTCCTTCTCCTGACAGCTTTGATAGCATTGTGGGCCAGGGCTCTGAAACATACATGTACGTATTCCGGGTGTGCCGGGAAGCCAGCAACCACAGCTCTGGAGCAGGCCTGGTGCAGATCAACAAGAGCAGTGGGAAAGAGACAGTGGTGGGGAGGCTCAATGAGACTCACATCTTCAATGGAAGTAAGACGCTGCTGTTGACTAACCCCACATTAGTCTTCTGACAGTGTCTTCGGTGTGTCACATGCTCCTAAGTCCACAGGCACCTAAGTCCACACCTGCTGCTCTGCTGTTACAGCTCAGGATAGATACACATTTGAAGACAATGGACAAATTTGTGAGAAATGCAGAGTCTAGCCAGAAAGTATTTATTTACCTAAATACTTCACGAGTTTCACACCAAATGCCATGCTCTCATCAAATTAACCACTTTGCGAGTTAAATTTTAAGAGATGAAGCTTTTTTGCAAACCAGTCCATCTATAAAAATTTTCTCACCAGTGTGCTGTGGTATTCTCAGTAGTAATAAAATCATATTGCTGGAAAGGACTACATGGAACTTACAGTCCAATTCCTTCTCAAAAGCACATAAATTAACTACCGAGTATAGATATTTACTCCTGTGAATACTGTACTAAAATACTATTCAGAATTTGGAGCGTGGGTCAGATGAGTGGGTTCTTGATTCAGTCTATGGTATTTCCTAGTCCTGTGTGTCTGAAAAATCATTTCATCTTTCAATTTGACTTTGTCCTATGCAAAAACCTCACCTCACATGATTGCTCAATCGTGGTATTTGGCTAAAGAACTTTGAACACAATACTAAAGAAGTAAATCTATTCCTGTCTCAAAAAATTGTCTATTTTGAATTTATCTATGGCCAATTTAAAATGGCAGATTTCTCCCCACTGCCTAGCCGTTAATATGCAACCTCTTTTGTTCTTAGCAAGTATTTGGAAAATGTAAATCACTAGTAAGCTATGGGTCATAATTGTATTTGTGTTAGTTGCCTATCCTTAATGTAGAAAGTTAAAATTATTCTTACCTAAATGTCTGATTCTTAGTTGTCTTAAACAAGGTAGCACAAAACGTTGGTAAAGAAGCAAGTTTTAACTTTGCATGTCTGGTATGCAGTCTCCTGATTGCTTGTCACCTCGCTTTCCCCTTCACCCCATAGTTCCATCTTCCTTGTTCCTCCCCAGGTAATTGGATCATGCTGATCTATAAAGGCGGTGATGAATATGACAACCATTGTGGGAAGGAGCAGCGCCGTGCAGTAGTGATGATCTCCTGCAATCGACGCACCCTAGCGGTGAGGCCCCGAGTACCTAAGGGAAATAGATTGCAAGGACTGACCTCAGGCGGGAGAGATACCCAGAGGGGACAGGATACACAGTAGACTCAAGAAACCAGCACCATTTTCCCCATGGCAGATACCCATCGTCCATGAAATTAGGCTACTGAACCAAGAAAAGCAAAGGTTGTTTGGGTTTTTCTTTTGTTGGCCAGAAGTCAAAAGATTTTACCACATAAATACCATGTTCTTCCCTTTCACTCTCAGGACAACTTTAACCCTGTGTCTGAGGAGCGAGGCAAAGTCCAAGATTGTTTTTACCTCTTTGAAATGGATAGTAGTTTAGCCTGTTCCCCAGAGGTCTCCCACCTCAGTGTCGGCTCTATCTTACTTGTCACGTGAGTGCTCTTCTCATCCATGTAAGCCTACCTTTCTTTAAAGTCAGTAACTATTTTGTGGTATGTAGACATAAGTTGATAAGTACATGTTTTATATTAAACCAGATATGACTGAAAATGACTGAATTTCATGAAATTAGATGTAATGTGTTTGTTGGTTTGGAGAGTCTCCTTTATAGTTCAGGCTGGCTCTGAACTCACTAGGTAGCACAGGCTGGCGGCAGTCTTCCTGGCTCAGCCTCAGGAATGCTGGGATTACAGGCGTGTACCACTACACCTGGCAGATTTAATATTTATTTCTCATAAGTATTTGCATTTAGAGGTGCTCCCTTGGGAGTTTTAAATCATATCCCATTACCAGAATGGTAGCGAAATAAAATTACACAACTAATGGCTATTATTCTTATCTGATAAATATTATACTGGCTCACATTTTTTCTGAGCCTTAAAAAATCTTAGCTGCGGCTGGGGATTTAGCTCAGTGGTTCCACCACCTACCTCGAAAGTGCAAGGACCTGAGTTCAACCCCCAGTGCACCCCCGCCACCAGAATCTTAGCTGGTTTTCTAAGGAAGCCTCCAGCCCCCCTTTTCTCTTTACGTTCCTTTTTCACAAAATATAGCCAACACTGAATATAGAGGCTGTCCTTGGTTATGAGTTTCACTTTTTTCTTATTCTTCTTTTGGGTTTAGCTTGTTGAGACAGAGATCTTGCTCTGATGTGCAGATATGTGCCACTGCACCTGGCTTAGTTTTTAAGATATGTATCTTTTTCCCTTTACAGATTTGCATCACTGGTTGCCGTCTACATCATCGGGGGTTTCTTATATCAACGACTAGTGGTGGGAGCCAAGGGAATGGAGCAGTTTCCCCACTTAGCCTTCTGGCAGGACTTTGGCAACCTAGTAGCAGTAAGTGACAAGTCCACTGGCTGGTTAATCAGTCATCTGGTTTAGTCAGAAGAGTTTCCTGGGCCGGGCGTGGTGGTGCACACCTGTAATCCCAGCACTCGGAGGCTGAGGCAGCAGGATTTGAGTTTGAGGCCAGCGTGGGCTATATAGTGAGTTCCAGGGCTTTCTAGACTACATAGTGAGACCCTGTCTCAAAAAAAAAAAAAAAAAAAAA